TTTGTCACCAATGTTGTTGGGGGCGGGGGGGCTCTCTTGCTGGAGTCGAACCGTGGCTTTGTCACCAATGTTGTTGGGGGGGGGGGGGCCTCTCTTGCTGGAGTCGAACCGTGGCTTTGTCACCAATGTTGTTGGGGGGGGCCTCTCTTGCTGGAGTCGAACCGTGGCTTTGTCACCAATGTTGTTGGGGGGGGGGGGGGGCCTCTCGTGCTGGAGTCGAACCGTGGCTTTGTCACCAATGTTGTTGGGGGGGGGGGGGCCTCTCTTGCTGGAGTCGAACCGTGGCTTTGTCACCAATGTTGTTGGGGGCGGGGGGGCTCTCTTGCTGGAGTCGAACCGTGGCTTTGTCACCAATGTTGTTGGGGGGGGGGGGGCCTCTCTTGCTGGAGTCGAACCGTGGCTTTGTCACCAATGTTGTTGGGGGGGGGGGGGCCCTCTCGTGCTGGAGTCGAACCGTGGCTTTGTCACCAATGTTGTTGGGGGGGCCCTGTCTTTCTGGAGTCGGACCGTGGCTTTGTCACCAATGTTGTTGGGGGGGGGGGCTGACGCCAACCTCTGACCCCGGAACCACCCACAGCTCTCGGGGTCCTCCTCCATCCTCGCTGACCACGAGACGACGTCGGTGGTGGTGGTTTGACGTGAGAGAGACACGGGTTGTGGTGGTTGGTTGTGGTGGTGGTTGTGGTGGGGCATGGTCGTGACTGACTACCCCTGTCCTCGTGTCAGACACCCCCCCCCCCCCATCAAGCCACCATCACGCCACCATCACCACCTTCATCATCACCACCACTACCTTCATCACCACCAACGCCACCACTACCTTCACCACCACTATTTTCACCACCACCATCGCCACCACTACCTTCACCACCACCATCACCACCACTACCATCATCACCACCATCACCACCATCGCCACCACTACCTTCACCACCACCATCACCCCCACTACCTTCACCACCACCATCGCCACCACTACCTTCACCACCACCACTACCTTCACCACCAACATCACCACCATCGCCACCACTACATTCACCATCACCACCATCGCCACCACTACCATCACCATCACCCCCACTACATTCACCACCACCACTACCTTCACCACCAACATCACCACCACCACCACTACCTTCACCATCACCACCACTACCTTCACCACCACCATCGCCACCACTACCTTCACCACCACCATCGCCACCACCATCACCACCACTACCTTCACCACCAACATCACAACCACCACTACCTTCACCACCACCATCTCCACCATCAACATCTCCACCATCACCACCACCACCACCATCTCCACCATCACCACCATCACCATCTCCACCATCACCACCTCCACCACCACCACCATCTCCACCACCACCATCTTCACGTCTATTGTATGTCCTGTATATTGAACTTCTTTCGCACCGTACCTAGCCAACCGCGCTAGTCGGAGATGCGGGGGAAGGGCAACAGACCAAACATCGTTATTGTCGTCACTATCACACTACTACTATTATAATAACAATAGCAGTAGTGTTCGTAGTTGCCGCAATTCTTCTCCGCTAGAGTGTAATTCTCTATCCCCACTCGCTGCACCGCAGTGCATGTGGTGCGTGTGTGTGTACTGTAAGTTCTTTATAACAAAGCGAGAAAGTTGTACCGTGTCTGCCTTTGTTCTGCGTTTAACTTTGGTTACGTTTACGGGTTTCTCGTTTAAAGTCGTGATTGTTGTTGAGGGTGGTCACCGCCATCACCACCACTACTACTACCACCACCACGACCACCATCACCACGACCACCACCACCACGACCACCACCACCACCATCAACCACGATCGTCACCACGTTGTGTGTTGTGGATCTTATAGCTGAGGGACGGGTGCAAGTGTGGTGTGTGTGTGTGATGTGGGGTGTGTGTGTGTGTGGTGTGGGGTGTGGTGTGTGTGATGTGTGTGTGTGGTGATGGGTGTGTGTGGTGTGTGCGGTGTGTGGGGTGTGTGTGGTGTGTGTGGAGTGTGTGTGGTGTGTGCGGTGTGTGTGTGTGTGTGGGGTGTGTGTGTGTGGATGTGTGGGGTGTGTGGGTGTGTGGGGTGTGTGTGTGTGTGTGGGGTGTGTGTGTGTGTGTGGGGTGTGTGTGTGTGTGGGGTGTGTGTGTGTGTGTGGTGGTGTGTGTGTGTGGTGGTGTGTGTGTGGTGATGGGTGTGTGTGGTGTGTATGGTGTGTGTGGTGTGTATGGTGTGTGTGGTGTGTGTGTGGTGTGTGCGGTGTGTGTGTGTGTGGGGTGTGTGTGTGTGTGTATGAGTGTGTGTGTGGAGTGTGTGTGGTGCGTGTGTGGTGGTGTGTGTGGTGTGTGTATGAGTGTGTGTGTGTGGTGTGTGTATGAGTGTGTTTGTGGTGCGTGTGTGGTGGTGTGTGTGTGGTGGTGTGTGTGTGGTGTGTGCGGTGTGTGTGGTGTGGTGTGTGTGGTGTGTGCTGTGTGTGTGGTGTGTGTGTGTGTGTATGAGTGTGTGTGTGGTGGTGTTGGGGTGTATGGTGGTGTGGGTGTGTATGGTGTGTGTGTGGTGTGTGTATGAGTGTGTGTGTGGTGTGTGTGTGGTGTGTGTGTGGTGTGTGTATGAGTGTGTGTGTGGTGTGTGAGTGTGTGTGTGGTGTGTGAGTGTGTGTGTGTGTGGGATGTGTGTGTGTATGGTAGTGTGTGGTGTGGTGTGTGTGTGGTGTGTGTGTGGTGTGTGTGTGGTGTGTGTGTGTGTGGTGTAGTGTGTGGTGTGTGTGTGGTGTGTGCTGTGTGTGTGGTGTGTGTGGGTGTGATGTGGTGTGTGGTGTGTGTATGAGTGTGTGTGTGGTGTGTGTGTGGTGGTGTGTGTGGGGTGTGTATGGTGTGTGTGTGGTGTGTGTATGAGTGTGTGTGTGTGGTGTGTGTGTGTGTATGAGTGTGTGTGTGGTGTGTGTGTGGTGCGTGTGTGGTGGTGTGTGTGGTGTGTGTGGTGTGTGTATGGTGTGTGTATGAGTGTGTTTGTGGTGCGTGTGTGGTGGTGTGTGTGGTGGTGTGTGTGTGGTGTGTGCGGTGTGTGTGGTGTGTGTGGTGTGGTGTGTGTTGTGTGTGCTGTGTGTGTGCTGTGTGTGTGTGGTGTGTGTGTATGAGTGTGTGTGTGGTGGTGTGGGTGTGTATGGTGGTGTGGGTGTGTATGGTGTGTGTGTGGTGTGTGTATGAGTGGGTGTGTGGTGTGTGTGGTGTGTGTGTGGTGTGTGTATGAGTGTGTGTGTGGTGTGTGTGGTGTGTGTGGTGTGTGAGTGTGTGTGTGGTGTGTGAATGTGTGTGGGATGTGTGTGTGTATGGTAGTGTGTGGTGTGGTGTGTGTGTGGTGTGTGAGTGTGTGTGTGTGGTGTGTGTGTGGTGTGTGTGTGGTGTGTGTGTGGTGTGTGTGTGTGGTGTGTGTGTGGTGTGGGGTGTAAACCACCGGTGTCACGGTCGCGTGGAGAACAAAGCGCCACGCTTTAGACTCCCCGAGATCGATGCCCGTGCATCACGACCATCAACCAACACCCAATCACCATCAACCAACACCACCACCACAATCACCATCAACCAACACCACCACAATCACCATCAACCAACACCACCACCACAATCACCATCAACCAACACCACCACAATCACCATCAACCAACACCACCACCACCACAATCACCATAACCAACACCACCACAATCACCATAACCCACCACCACAATCACCACAATCACCATCAACCAACACCACCACAATCACCATCAACCAACACCACCACCACAATCACCATCAACCAACACCACCACAATCACCATCAACCAACACCACCACCACCACCACAATCACCATCAACCAACACCACCACAATCACCATCAACCAACACCACCACCACCACAATCACCATCAACCAACACCACCACAATCACCATCAACCAACACCACCACCACCACCACCACAATCACCATCAACCAACACCACCACAATCACCATCAACCAACACCACCACAATCACCATCAACCAACACCACCACAATCACCATCAACCAACACCACCACCACCACAATCACCAACCAACACCACCACGACCACCACAACCAACCCCACCATCAACTAACACCACAATCACGACCACAATCATCAACCAACAACCACCACCACAATCACCACCACCACCACCACGACCAACGACGACGATTATCCCGGCCCTCCCCTAGGTCGACTCGGCCTCAAGTGGATGCGGTGTCAGTGTGTCGGGAGGGGGGTGGGGGAGAGACAAAGGCGGCCGGGGTTGGTTGTTGACTACCCGACCTCGTGTGTGTGTGACTGTGTGTGTGTTTGTGTGTGTCTCTACGTGTGTGTGTGTGACTGTGTGTGTGTGTTTGTGTGTGTCTCTACGTGTGTGTGACTGTGTGTGTGTGTGTTTGTGTGTGTCTCTGTGGGTATGTGTTTGACTGTGTGTTTGTGTGTGTCTACGTGTGTGTGTGCCCCACCACCAACGCCGCTGGTGACGACGAATCGGTCCTGGGCCCCTTCCCCTTAGGTCGACTCAGCCTCAAACGAGCACCTGGCGTAGCGGTGTGCAGTAAACATCGCCACTGGGGAGACAAAGGCGGCCGGGCGTGGTGCTGGCCACCCACCCCCACGTGTGCTATAGTGCTGCTGTGACTCACTAACAGCACTTGCCACATCCTCCTGTTAATGGCTACACGGGGGATCTTTGTCTTTGTTGTGGTGATGGCGGTGGTGGTGATGGTGTTGTTGGTAGTGGTGGTGGTGATGGTGGTGGTGGTGATGGTGGTGGTGATGGTAGTGGTGATGGTGGTGATGGTGGTGGTGTTGGTGGTGTTGGTGGTTGTGGTGATGGTGGTGGTGATGGTGTTGTTGTTGTTGTTGGTGGTGGTGGTGATGGTGGTGATGGTGATGTTGGTGGTGGTGATGGTGTTGGGGGGTTTTGCTTGACTCTTGGTCTCTTCTTCCTTCTCCGCAGGGAAAGTGGAACTCCACGGGAAGGCGCTTGACGTGGACTACTCCGTGGCCAGGAAGCAACGGTGAGCAAGGAGCAAGCTCTCCCCCCCGTGTGTGTGTCTCGTCTCTTGTTTACTTTGTAGAACGACGTCAACAACAACAACAGCAGCAGCAGCAGCAGCAGGAGCAGTCGAAACACACAAACACACGCAGAATGTATAAATATCGACAGGAAATGTCGTCGCCTTCCGATGCAATTTAATGTCAACTTGTTCACTGCACGAGTTGCAATTCGTGTTTGGTTTTTTTTTCATCGATGCGGGTTACACATCGGCTGGTAAAGTTGTAAACATTTTTAAAAAGTTTGGATGTTCGGTGCAAGATGCACGTGTTTTGTCCACTCGTTGTGTATTCCCCAACCCCGTGGCGTTGCTATTTAAATGCTATTCCCATTAAGAACAGGTCCCACGGTGTTTTTATATCAGCAGTTTATTACTCAACGTATCGGATGACAAAGTGTATATTTTGTTGTTGATACTCCGTATTCGTGTACAGGGAAATTTAGTTATCAGTTCCATACGGCGTGCAGCCGTTTCACTAGGGCAACAACAACGAGAAATGTTTCTATTTGTTTGTGTTTCTGCCTTGTTGTGATGGGACTTTGTGGGATGAACGTTGAGATTGATAAGGGCACGGGGGGTGACCACTAAAGTCTGTGTTAATGGTCAGCAGTAATAAGTTAGGACACTGATAAGGGGGAGGGGGGGAGGTTGACAGGTATGGATATTTATTTTTTGCAAATTTTTGAACGGTGACATAATCTTGCACAACTGAGCCCAACCCGGAAATGTGAAAAACAACAAATTCGTTTGTTGTAGAAACGTAACAATTGTTGCTGACAGTGGGTTGAGTTAAAACTTTAGCTGACAGCTCAAGCCATAGCTTGTTGTTAGTTCAACGCGCAGTAGAGGGGGTTTGTTTGTGTCGTTAAACCCGTCACCACCCGACACGGCCAATTAGTTAATTGTCCACGTAAACAACACGTGACAATTCGTTCGTGGGGTGTGTGTGTGGTGTGGGTGTGGTGTGTGTGGTGTGGTGTGTGTGGTGTGGTGTGTGTAGGTGTGTGTGTGGTGTGGGTGTGTGTGAGTGTGTGTGGTGTGGGTGTGTGTGTTGTGGTGTGTGTGTCGGTGTGTGTGGGTGTGTGTGGTGTGGGTATGTGTGGTGTGGGTATGTGTGGTGTGGGTGTGTGGTGTGTGTGGTGTGTGGTGTGTGTGTGTGGAGTGGTGTGTGTGGTGTGGTGTGTGTGTGTGGAGTGGGGTGTGTGTGTGTGGTGTGTGTGGAGTGGGGTGTGTGTGTGGTGTGGGTGTGTGGTGGGTAGTGTGTGGTGTGTTGTGTGGTGTGGGTGGTGTGGGTGTGTGGTGTGTGTGTGTGGTGTGGGTGTGTGGTGTGTGTGTGTGGTGTGGGTGTGTGGTGTGTGTGTGTGGTGTGTGTGTGGGTGGTGTGGGTGTGTGGTGTGTGTGTGTGGTATGTGTGTGTGTGGTGTGTGTGGTGTGTGTGTGTGGTGTGTGTGTGTGGTGTGTGTGGTGTGTGTGTGTGGGGTGTGGTGTGTGTGTGGAGTGGGGGGTAAACCACCGATGTCATGGTCGCGTAGAGAACAAAGCACTAAACCGGTTGTGTTTTTGTTACCCGAATTGAAATGTTGTAGTGGGTTTACTCTCTCAACACACTACCCGTTAGTGCTGTACTAGTAACGAATTGGCACGTTTTGTTCCTGACAAACCCCTTACCGATTGGCAGTGTCGGGTGGCGGAGGGTTTAACGACACAACATTCATATTAACCGCGATCTCACCCAAAAAAATACAACGATTATGCGTCATCGTTGTAGTAGAGGACTCGCCCCACGTTTGGCCCTGCTGTGTCCAAGATTTGGCGTTCTCAACATCTTTTTCACAAATGTAACAACAACAAATCTATTCTAGCTTCGGGGAATTGTGAAGGGTGACTCTGAGCACCGTTTAGTGTGGCAGTGTTAACATTGGCCCGTGCTTGCTTGTTAGATTGGTGGGGGGGACGAGAGTGCAGAGATTGTGCGACTCGGTTTGTGGATAAGGAACAGAATGTGGTGTGTGTAGCTGTAGTGCTAAATCATAAGGCCATAAGTTATTTTGTTTAGTTCACAAGGTTCTTAATAATTGTATCATGACACACTTTGAATGTTTTTTTATCCTCATCGCTGAATACTGTGGTTTACACGACTCTAACGCCGAGTAAATATTGTTTAAAATATTTTTGTTATTCACAATTCCACCAGTCGCACTCGATTTAGAGCACTTGTCACCATGTGACGGGAGCGTGGTTCACTATTGTCAGGTCTATCATATTTGGAAGACTTCAACAGTAGACCCTTGGATGCATAAACTGCTTTTAGAAATCTAGATTGCTTTTAGAAATTGGAACTCTTAAAATGGGCAAAAAAAAGGTGATTGACACACACTGCGTTTGAACGGTACGGATCTGCAAATGCAACGTGGATTGAGTTATTGTGGAGCTGAGACCTCTGCATCTTGTATAGAAGCAACTTCCTGAAATTTATACAGAGCACACACATACAGTATATGTCCCTATGCGAGGTCAATCAAATACACTTTACACAATTTTAAGCTGCAAAATGTACAGCCAAATTATACATTGCACGTTGTGGTACATGACGAGGTGTAGGAAACAGTCTTCAAGATGACGAATGGCTCGGTTTGCTGTACTGTGTATAGCAGTGGTTTAGGTTGTAATGAATTGCAACTTCGAACAATGAATGGCACTGCAAGTCCGTCTTGTGAATGTGGATACAGCTGTCGATGTCCTCGCCCTATTGGGTTGTAAACTTAAAACATTTGCGCTTCCACTCGTAAGCTTGTCAATGAGTATGGTATTAAATGTCCCTGGCTTTATAATAATGGTCTTTGGGTCTTGGGGGGTAAGGTTATATCTGGGCACTGTACATTCTTGTTTAATTGGGACACTGTGGCGGGATGGGACACGTCACCACCACGTGGCATCGTGGACATTGACAGACGCGCCAGTGTGAAGGCACTTCTTAGCTTAATTTAACACGTAGCAGGCTTTCGCGACCAATATTATTCATAATATAGGTTTTTGGGTCAGATCGCGTTATTTATAAATGTGTCGTAACCCTCCACCACCCGACACGGCCAAATAGTAAAAAATGTGTCACGTTTTTCCAAGGACAATATAATTCACTTCTATAGCCCACCGGTGTGCACACCTTTAGTGACACGCACTTACCTGTGTGTGTGTAAAGTTGTTCAAATTCAGGCTGTCCCACAATCAGAGAAGTACAGGGAGGAGGAGGAGGAAGTCGATTGTGGACATTCAGTGACGTGTGATTTTGACAAAAGGATACATTTGTAAACCACATCGCATTGATTTCAGCTCCGCAACCAGTTATTCTAACCGTCAACACTTACTTACATAATCATTACATAATTCAAACTGAATGGATGTATAAGGGGAAAAGGAGCAATTTATAGCCTAACTTTTGTTCTCAATGGTCACTGAACTTTAAAAAATGTATGCATTGAGAGGAAAATACAAAGTATACCTGGGTTTGTTATGCACCTTGATACGAGTTCCAGATTATTTAATTAATTTATCCTATTAATTGCATAATGTGTTTGTAACGAGCTGCCATTCAATAACTGATGGGCACGGCTATGTATTGCGGCAAATGTTTATATACATGAAAGGCAACGTGGTGAAATGTGGCTCTAGAATAGGATTTATTTGATCAAAGAATATATATATTTTTCAAATTATTATCGACGCGAACCTTTGCTAAGGATGCGTTCACGTACGTGCATCCGTTGCAGCCTTTTTGTTCTTGTTAAGTTATTTTATTGATGAGCGGTACAGTGGTTTGCACGCTTCCGTTATTAGGTAGATGTTGGATATGTCACGACAGTCAACGTTGGGAACGGTTGGGAGGGTTGGAAAGGTATTACATAATGCTCTTTCGTGACTCAAAAGCCTTCCGAATTATGCCCAGATCGTTGTTGAGTGCACGATCTTCTGTCCGGCAGCAACTCGTGCGTGCACATCTCGTGTGTGCTTCCTCTTTATTTTCGTTCAAACTTCAGATGTTAACAAACTGAGTTCCTTTGGTCCTGACCACACACACACAGCAACTGCAAAGGGGGGGGGGGGGGTGTTGTACTGTGCATAATGATGACCGCGTCATTTATTTTTTCGTCGACTTTTCCATGCAACATTCCCCCACATCTCTCTCCCCCCATTTGAAATTGCCTCGAAAATTGAACGTGGGACATGCAAATGCACAACACTGTATAACTTTCCATCCGTGTCACCAATTAAATGGTTATTCACTTCCATATGGCGAGTGATTCTTTTTTTCCCCTCTCTTTTCCAGGCAAACTGGAAATTCTTGGAAGTTAAGCTGTCTGTAGCTTTTGTCACTGATTTCTCTCCCCCCCCCCCCGCCGCCTTTTTGGAAGTTACACATGTGTAAGCGCTTTTTATCGGTAAAGCGTGGCACTCGCCGCTTATTCGATAATATAGGAGAGAGAGGAAATGGAGAAAAGATCGTCCCCAGGAACTGTTGCGCTGTTATGCCACGATATCGAAAATAAAAATTCATTTGTATGGTTCATGCTGCAGGGAGTTAAAAAACCCCATAAATTCTGTGACTATCCGTGCTATTCCACTGCCTCTTGTGTATGGCCTTGCAGTCGTCGGCTAGCACTGCGGATGATTTTAAACGGATGGAGATTGAACATCACGTCCAGTTATAGAAGGTGTTGTAAAACGATATTCATCCCTCCACTGGTATGCCAGCCATCAAGTTAATTCGCTCAATACGCACGTACTTTCTCAATAACTGCTGCTGCACGACCTGTTGATGTAATAACATGAATGAAAATACATTTGTATTCATTGAAGAAATAAAAGTGCTGCCATTTACCAGAAACGTGACCTCACATTACGTGATGTGTCCACGTCTGATGCTTGCATATATAGGGGAGTAATGTATTTCACAATTTGTGACA